AGGGCTTGGCGCAGAATGATCTGGCCTGTCTTGGCATCTACACCAAAGGTGTTCATCACCTCTGGGGACACATGTTTGCCAAAGAAGAACTCTACCTCCCCGTTGGGTCCTTGGTCTGGGTCCGTAGCAGTCAGGTTTATGAGGAGAGTGCCAGGAGCAGTGTCTTCTGGGATTTCTAGTGCTAGTGAACTCTCAGCAAACACCGGACTATTGTCATTGGAATCCAGGACATTGACCTTGACCACGCTGGTGCCTGACTTAGGGGGATTCCCATTGTCATAGGCAGTCAGCACCAGATCAAAAAATGAGTGGACTTCCCTGTCCAGCTCCTTCACCACCACGAGTTCTGCATGTTTGGTCTCATCAGGCCCCACAATAACATCCAGAGCAAAGTGTTCACTGTGAGACAGAGAGTAGGAATACAAGCTGTTAGGACCAGTGTCTTGGTCAAGAGCCCTGTCCAAGGGGATTCGTGTGTACAGAGCGGCACTCTCTGAGATTTCCAGCTCCTGTTCACCCTTGGGAAACTGTGGCTGGTGGTCGTTGATGTCCAGTACCTGAATCTCCACATGGATCAGAGCCGAAGCCCTTATGGCCAGCACATCAAAGGACAGCAGGCAGGGATCTTGTTGCCGGCAGAGCTGCTCCCGATCCAGCCGGCTGGAAGTGCTGAGCAGGCCGTCCTCGGAGTTCATCTGAATAGGCAGTGCCTGAGGCAGCTGCAGGATCTGGAAGGCATCTCCTGCCTTCCCACGCCTCTCCTCCACTCCCGGTTCTTGGGACAGCTTCCCTATCACAGTGCCTGACGGCACTTCCTCTGTCACTTGGAATTTCACCATGACAGTGGCTACCTCTTGACAATCCCCCGAAAGGAATAAGTGGCTTCCTGGCCCCAAGAGCCCCAGCAGGAATGGCAGAAGTAGCATCTTGCTTACCACAGGGAGGGCTAGACTCAACCCAAAGCTCTTGAAAGGCAGGATACGTCCCCCAGTGGCTCCTGAATGGCTCAATCAGCCTGGATCTCCCGCTTCAGACCTGCCGGTACAACTTTGTCCCATAATTAGAAGATGCTGGAAGAAGCAGGATTCCCAGGCAAGGCCATCTCTGTGGAAAGTTATCCGAGAAGTCTCCAAACTGATGAAGTGCTAGAGGAGATTCCTGCTCCGCAGCCGCACCAGCTGGTCCACTTAGCAGTGATGGGCAGGAACCAGTCTGAGAGAGACTTGACCTAGTAAAGCGGGGGATGTAGGGATCTGACTTCCAAACAGTAACTAGGCTGGGGAAACAGAGAAGCAGCTTTTTCCTATGGAAACCCCACCTACAGGAAAAGGGAGGGCTGGGAGTTTCAATGGCAATTAGAGAAAGAGCATTTCCTGTGAGGCAGAGAAGCCTGTTGCTGAAGAGGATGAGGCCAGGGCTCCTGGGACGGGCTGGATGGGAAGGTGCTGTCCACGCAGCAGCAAGGCAGCCAATGAGGGACAGGGAGCCACTGTGTAGCCGAGTGAGCGAAGGACTTGACCTATACTGATGTCCCTCTAGGGCACATCAGGCTCTCCATCTCTCTTCCTCATCTTTTTTTTTTTTTTTTTTTTTTTTTTTTTTTTTTTTTTTTTTTTTTTTTTTTTATTTTTTTTTTTTTTTTTTTTTTTGCCTTCTTCCTCCATTCTCCTACCTTCTAGAAGCCCCTGTCTTTTTCTTATACTTGTTGGACTCTCCACCTCAACTTTGCCCCCAAGTTTGTCTCTCTGGGAAGCAGCTATTATTAGTAGAAAAGCCACACAAGCTAAAATGGCATGGGTTCGAATTCTGACTTTGCAACTTATCAGCTGGGTTTTCTGGAACGAATGACTGACCTCCCTGAGCATCTACTCCTTCATCTTCAAAGTGAGGTGGGGAGCAGAATAGTTGTCCTCCCTGCAGGAAATGGTGAGGATTGGATAAAATGATGTATAAAATCCCTTGGCCCGGTTCTGGTCCCAAATCACAAACAATAATGTTGTTTGGGTGAGGGTATCGTCGTTGACACAGCTCATTCCGCCTGTGGTTGGAGCTCTCACATTGGCCACTGGGTAGTTTTTGCTCACGTTGACCCCCTGAGGGTGCCAAAGGCTCTACCAGAAGCTGTAAGGAAGGACCTGTATGATCGGACTACAGGGCTCCCTTCCCCCCTTCCCTTCCTGAGATCCTTGGGATCCATTGTTCTCTGCATCTGGTCCAACCTGAGTCCCTGTCTGGGGAACCCCCAGCCTCTCTTCCTCTGTCTCGAACTTTTCACACTTCCTTCTCCCACACCTTCCTCTCCCTTTCATCTGTCTTTCCCCCTCTTCCTCCAATTCTTCTCACCACACTTTTGTTTATGAGAGCCCTGTGAACGGCAGCTGCCTTGCCTCCCAGCCCTGGACTTAAGGTGAGTTCTCCCTCCTGCTCACCGTCTCACTTAGGCGAGGTGCAGGAAGCCAGAGGGGTGGGCGGTCTGCTTCCGTGGCCTTGTGGCTTCTGTTGCCTCCAACCGTCTTCTAGGTTTATTCTGCAGATCTGTGGAGCATTGGAAATGCTGGAAATGAAGATCAACTTCCCAAAGATGGGTGTCTACTGCTGAGTCCTTGGGGCCAGAGATGCCCCATTTGGACACAGTGACGCCACTCGGGGCTTGTTGGCATGGAGATCCATGGCAGTCGGGCTTGGAGTGGCTGAGGGGTAGCCACATGCACTCCCTCTCCTCTGTCCTTTCTTTCCTTCCATCCTGGAGTTTGCTCAACCATCTCACTGAGTCCACTAAGCCACGGCAGGGGTCCTGAGTCTACAGGGCCATTTCCTAGGGTACAGCTTTAGGACCACCAGACCCTCACAGACTTAGAACACCAATGATTGAGGGAGTCCCTGAGCCCTAGCCTCCTTCTCGGAGAGTGTGGCTGTCATCTATCTTATAAGTTTACAGTAAGGACCAAAAAAGTGATACATATGGAGGCCTAAGTGTGGGGTCTGGCAGAGATCATTCAGCAGGTAGGGTCCACCATTTTCTCTTTCTCATCTTGCAGGTTTAATGGCGCACATGCAAATGTGAAATCAGTCATGAATTTACCTTTCTGCTTTTGTTTCCTTGTTTATTTTTTTCTTCCTTTGTCTGGTCTCTCTTAGCTCTGGGTGAGCAAGATACAGCCTATACTACAAGGGGGGCCGAGCGGTTCCCCTCAGAGCACAGTAACACAGTGGACGCCCATTGTCCTCTGGTGACAGCCTACTTGATGACCTCACTGTCTGACCCTCATTCATCCCACCACTGCACCAGGCAGTAAAGAGACCGAGACCCCCAAGGGCTTACGGTCATTGCGGAAGTAGGGGAAAAGAAAAAGTGAGCCCAGTGTAGTCACTGTGGACTGTGGCCTGGGAGGCGGTGGCGGCGGTGGCGGCAGCGGTGGCAGAGCCTCCAGGCAGGAGCTCAGTGATCCCTGATGGACAGGAGTAGTTCACTAGGGCAAGAGAAAGAGCAAAGAAAGGCAAAGCAGGCCAAAGACACAGACTGTGCAGACTCCAAAGTGGACAAGCTGCTTCCTTCTGCTGCATCGGGGGGTCTATGTGGTACAGAAGGAGGAAGATGGAACCAGGGTCACTGGATGATGAAAGTCCTGGGTCCCCACAGGAAGGACCTAAAACTTATTCTGGAGGCCACAGGAGCTTTGGGAAGGCACAAAGCAGGACGATGAGATCAATGATTTGCCAGCCTCTGTCCTGAGCGATTTACCCATGTCCTCTCGTGCCCTTCCCCACCCCACTGCCCCCTGCCCCAAGGACAAGTCATCAGGCTAAAGAAGATGAACACAGGAAAGATGTCCGAGATCCTACAGATTTGCCTTCCAGAAAGCCTCTTCAGCTGCACCCAGGAAGGTAGCTGAGAGGGGAGGCCAGTTGAGAGTCTGCAGGAGAGCCTGGATGCAGAAAATGTTTCCAGAATGGGAATGTTTCCAGAATGCCATCTGGTGGCCAAAGGCAGAGAACAAAGCACAGAGGCGCAGAGGGGACAGCCACCAAGGTGGGAGGGTTCACAGAGCTGTGCTGCACAGATGTGCATAAACAGAAAAGAGACCGCAAACAATGAACCGTCTCAGTGCAGTGGCTCTCAGCCTCCCTAATGTTGTTACCTCTTTAATACAGTTAGTTTCTCACATTGTGGTGACCCCCCATCATCGATACTTCCTAACTGTGACTTTGCTACTGTTATGAGTCATAGTGTAAATATCTGATATGTGACCCCCAAAGGGGTCTCTACCTACAGATTGAGAACCCTTGTCTTAATAGATGACCAAACCTCGGTGTGGTGGTACATGCATGTACTGATCAGGAGTTCAAGGTTATTCTTGGCTATAGAGCAAGTTGAAGGCCAGCCCGGGCTACATGTGATCCTGTCCCAAAATAGCAACATCAAAAGATAACCAGGGATCAGAAAGAATGGAGTTCATGATTTTACGTGTATTATTTATATTCCTGAAAAGAAATTGTTATGCATGTTTAGCAATGCTATATACAATTAAATTTAATAAAACAATATATGTGCTTATTCATGCATATGTGTTATGACCATGAATTAAAAAAAATGAACTTACATTACAAAACTTTGAATTTGTATTTCGCATGTGTTTGTTGCTATTGCTTTGTTTTGGTTTTGGGTTTTAGGATCTTTTTTTTTTTTTTTTTGAGACAGGGTTTTGCACAGCTTGGGTTGACCTTGAACTCTCCATGAAGCGAAGGATGACCTTGAATTCCTGATCCTCCTGCTTCCCGCCTCCTGAATATTGAGATTACAGGTGCACGCTACCATGCACAGCTTGCTAGGTGTGATTTTTTTTTAATCGTCGCTATGTGCTTGTTTTATTGGCACTGGCGACATGAAGTGGAGCCACCCCTCGAAAAGTCCCAAAGGTTTATGAAACGAGACGTCAGACTGTTCACAGGTGGTTGCCCCTGGGAAGGAGACCTCCATTCTGTCCTTCTCTCTCTTCCTTCTTCTAGGGAAGCTGACTTTCCACAGGAGTCTGTCAAAGGGTGAGTGGAGCTGTCCCCGGAGTTTGTTTAGGAAGATTTCATTTCCTTACATTTTGAAAGAAGTTTGGAAGGAGCAGAGGAAGTATTTGAGGTAGGTTCAACACGGCTGAACATGGCCTCCCTCAGGTCCTCGAGATTTTAAGACGGCGGTAGATTAGGACTGCTGCTTGACATCTTGGCTCACCCCGAGCCTTGAGGTGACTCCTTGGGCATAGCAAGGAACTGAGGGGTAAAATGAGAAGGGTGAGAACCAGTGACTCTTTTCAGAGCACTGGGAACCTCCAGGGCTCACACTAGTAAGATGTGGCGTGTCTCTTGGGAGCCATTGACAGACAGTACAGCTTAGATAAAGACTAAGCCCACCCACTCAGTATAGACGTCCTGACTTGGCCTTCTGGATTGGCTCTCCTGAGCCTGCCCACTAAGACAGCTCCAAGGAGGCCTAGAAGCACTGCCCTGAGAATCATTCCACTCCCGAAGGTGGCTGGACCATCCAAGGTCACCCTCCTTTTAGAGCCAGACCTTGCTGAAGTGAGAGCCAGGAGTCTTGACTCGGAGACTCAACTAGTTATTCTGGGTCACGTGCTCTTGGCATGGCCCTTTAGGGCTTTACTAGGACAGGTGACAAATGTCAAATCTCACACCGTGGCATCTCTTTCTAGACAAGTACGGAAAGAAAAATGGACTTTGCAAGGAGAAACTTGCCAAGATGTAGGACTTTTCAAGAAACGAAAAGGTGTTCTGTCTTAGAAAAGAGTGGTAGTCCTCAAAGGGACTGCACACAGGGTGACTTGGAAAGCTTGTGAAATGCCAGAGGCAGGGTAAGAAAATTCAAATTTCCCCTTTCCCAGGCTGCCAAGGTTGATTCTTCAATTTTTAGCTCAATTACCACTCCTTTTAGCAGGCCTCTACTTTCGGATTAGCTCGATCCCCTTTCTGGAGAGACTCCGCCGATCTACACAATAAGATGAAAAAATAGCAGCGAAACTTGAAGTTACTGCAGACATCACTGCAGAAAAAAAACAGCCGTCAAGGGAGTGGAAGGTGCGTCGGACATTTGACGAAGTTGTGGCCAACTACGGACCTCTTCACAATTTTCAGGGAAAATGCAAAAATAGATTAATGGTGTTTTCGATCCTCTCTGTCTCTGTCTCTGTCTCTGTCTCTGTCTCTGTCTCTCTGTCTCTCTCTCTGTCTCTGTGTCTGTCTTTCTTTCTCTCTCACCAGTCTTCAGAGGAGAAAGGCACTAATTTACTTGTTTATTTTCTTTTTCCTTTTTGGATTTTTAAGACGGAATCTCTCTGTGTAGCCCTGGCTGTCCCGGAATTAACTCTGTAGACCAGGCTGGCCTGAACTCAGAGATTCTCCTACTTCTGCCTCCTGAGTGCTGGGGTTAAAGGTGTGGGCCACCACCGCTTGGCTTAATTTACTTGTTTCAATTCTGTTTTTTGTTTATTTGTGTTGTTGTTGTTGTTTAAGGCAGGATCTCAGTAGCTCAGGCTGGCCTTGAACTCCTGGTCTTCCTGCCTCATCTGTCAAGTCTTGGCTTTGGACTTCCATTCTAATACTCTGCAGGTGATTCTGACATATACCTGATCTCTCCCCCAGCCCTACTGGGAACTCTGAGTAGAGTTTCTCAGAAGCACCAGCAGCTTTATAAAGCCAAATCCTACACTCAGCTCTATAGCTTCACCAGAAAATGAGGATGCTCCCTTACCCAGCATCCTCCAGGTCACCTTCTCTCCTGATGTTGGTGTCTCTCTGCTTCCCTGACCTTTGTAGTCACCTGGTTCGGTCTCCACATTCTGCACAGTTCTCTGTTTCTTAGACCCCACCTTTGGCTTCCCTTCCTTAGGGCTCCCAGGTGAGGGATGTCCCCAACTACTGTCCTCAACCCTCTCCTGAGCATTGTTGGCTCAGAAACAGATCGTCAGCTTTGGCAAATAAAAATATAGGATGCCCAGTTAGATCTGAATTTCAGATAAACAGCGAATACATTTTTGCTCTAAGTATTTTTGCCCGACAGCCCTGCCCAGAAATAATATTCACTTCAGCACAAGTTTCTTCCCGTCCCCCAACACCCCACAATTTTGGTCTACACAGTGAATTTGAAAATGTATCAGTAAACACAAAAGCCAAACGCACTGACTGGTAGCATCATCTGCACATGAATATTCAGAAGCTGACGTTGTTGATTGGCCTGGTTATGCACTCAGCATTTCTGGGTCAGTCTGGGATCGAACTGTTCCCAGGCTGAAAGAACCAGCCCAGAGGAAGCCTGGATCACACTCAGTCATTAAATCATTCAGTCACCCAATCATCCATTTATTTGGTGGAATTCAGCATGTTCTTCTCTGTTTACAAGGTCAATTTTTAGGGGGCAAGGGAAATAGCTCAAGTTGACCCACATCCTCCCTCCCTCTGAACCTTGGGTTTGGATTTTTTTCTTTGTATAGAATCTAATCAGCCTAATCCTCTTCTTGCTCCAGAAAGGCTCTTGCAGGAGGGAAAATGAGCCTTCCCATCGTTACATAAATTCTCACGGGGCTTCCCTTTACAAGTGTCTGACAGCTAGGAGTTGAGCCCGGGAGCTCTGAGAGAAACTGCCACACACTGATTTATGATGGCAGCCGCTGCTAAACCTCGCCCTCTTTCCTCCTCACAGAACCATGTTACCTTGGGGTTACAAAACTCTTTTCACTCTTGTTCAGGGGAATAATAATAAAATGCCGGGTTGCAAGTATAAACACGATCATTCTGTGCCTATTATTTTAATCAGACTCTACCTTGCATCAGAAGCACAGGAAATACTCCACGTTATCAGACACCTGAAGCTTCTGCAGGGATCTGTCTTTATACCATCCTGGGATGGATGACCCATGGGGTTGTTTGGACTGATCCAGGAAGCTGGTCATACCAGCCATCTGACTAGTTTTCCTTACCCACACAACTGACCACTTATTTGTTAAGTGTGAGGTGCTCTAAGCATGGCACTGGGGAAATTGACGTGGGTTCAGGGCTCCTCCTGTCCAGGTTCATAGCTTGGCTCTGTCATTTACCCAGTCAGAGACAATGGCACATCAATGACCTTCTTCTCCATGATCAATTCCTCAGCTTCGAAACAGGGCTGGAAGGGCTGGAGTGGTATCTCAGTAGTTAGGAGCATGTACTTATAGAGGACCTGAGTTTGACTCCCAGCATCCATGTTGGGTGTCTTACAAGTACCTGTAACTGCAGTTCTAGTGGGATCCAATGCCTCTGGCCTTAGTGAACAGCTGTACTTATGGGCATATACATACACACATATGTACACACACATAATTAAAATAAAAAAATAGGAATGGTGACAACCAGGATGATGATGATGATGACGACAATGAGTATGTGTTGGTTGTTATATGGTGAGCTCATTCAGCACACAGCACTGCCAGCATGCTTGGTTAGGTTAACCTAGTGCACCGTTAGGACTCTGTTAATTATTCATAACAGAGTTATTTGCATACTTCTACTTATCATTTGCTTGCTTTATTTCGTTTTTAGGATGAAACCTACATTAAAAAAAAATAAATAACCATCAACTTTTCAGATTCCCGTAAGATCGACATAGTAAACAAATACACAGTGACAAGTGACCACCAAGGGTCAATGATGATGGCCACTGGGTGTCTTCATTCACTTCCTGTTGCTGTGGGAAGACACAACACCTTCATTCTTGCATCCTTTGTGTCTCTAAAGCCACTACCACATTGATGACATTGCCAAGGTCAGCTGCCAGGTTGGATGGACCTTACCCCCTTTGAATCACATGGACAGAGCTTTTAGTCAGCTATGTTTAGGAACAGAAAACAACTTAGGTTTTTTTTTTGTGTTTGTTTTTTTGTTTTTTGGCAAGAACCTAAATTCTTTTTTCAGTTGTGTGTGGTCTCGCCCTGAGGCAACCACCCCTTTATTCCAGTACCGAGCTTGAGGCCTTGCCTAATCTCTTTACCTCTTTCAGCAGAAGCCTGGGCTGTAACATTATCTCCTGGTGTTCTCTTTCCCTTCCAACTGTACATTTTGTATTTCTCTCTGCCTCACTTCCTCTTTTTTTATTGTAGACCTGTAGAACAGTCATTAATAATACCCTTACTACAGATTCAATATTATACTGTCTTGAACTTGCCTCCATCAAAGAAATTAATCCATTGCTATTTAGTTTAGCCTCAGGCAAGTTCTTAGGACAATCGCAGAAGACAGCCACATTCCTTGTTAAAACATCACAGGAATGGCCTCTAGTCAGGCTGCTAACATTCCCTCTGCAATCTCTTGAGCTGAGCCTTCTCTACAGTCCTCATTGCTCTCAGCTCTCTCTTCCAAGACCCCAGAACAGCCCATTACACTCTGCTTACAGCAGTCAACCACTTTTCTAGTCTTCCACATTCCCCCCAAAGAAAAAAACAAAACAAAAAACAGCAACCGCCCGATATCTGGCACTAATGTCTATCTTCAGTTACTTTCTGTCGCTGTGATGAAACTCCATGACCAAGGCAACTTACAAAAGGAGGTTTGCTTAGGCTTCCCATCTCAGAGGAGGGAGAGTCCATCCTGTCTGGGAGCATGACAGCAAGCGGCAGGCACAGTGGCAGGAGCAGGAGCCCCCCGGAGCTTACATCTTGTACGGTATGAGTCAGAGATGACCAACTGAAAACAGGCGAGGCGCTTTAATCTTAGAGCCCGCCCCCCAGTGACACACTTCCTGCAGTCAGGCTACCTCCTAAACGTCCCCAAACAGTGCCACTAACCGGCGACCAAGTGTCAAATGCTTGGGACCATGGGGGATATTTCTTATTTAAACCACCCTAGTAGGATAGCGGCACAATGATAGAATGCTGGCCTACTATATGTAAGTCCCTGCGTTCAATGCCCAGAACTGGAAAAATTCAAAATTCAAATGTCAGTGGTACTTCTGTGCTGGGCAGGCCTCAGCAGCATCCCGTCTTCTGGGGCTGGGCAGAACTTTCCTTTCCATACCCTTGTTGTCTAAGTGTGAAGGGTCTGATTGAGGGATGCTTGTGAATGGTGGCCCCTGGAAAGGAGGCTGTGTGCAGAAGTGAGTTTCTGAATGTCTACTGGAACTTAATGAGAGTGTGGGGCCTGGTGGAAGGCCTGCTGACTTGTAACCTGTGCAGTAACTGTCCCATTGTGTGACTCGTGCCCGCTGTCTGCTCACGGCCTGGGGTCTACTCATCTGAGATAGCTCACACAGTCTATTCTCAGACAACCTGGGCCCCTCAGGATGGAGTTTGTCTCTTGAACTCTTGGATTTTTTTTTTTTTTTTTGAGACAGGGTTTCTCCGTGTAGTTTTGGTGCCTGTCCTGATCTCACTCTGTAGACCAGGCTGGCCTCGAACTCACAGAAATCCACCCGGCTCTGCCTCCTGAGAGCTGGGATTAAAGGCGTGCGCCACCCGGCTGAAACTAACTTCTATAAGGGCCTTCTATTTCACAACTTTGGACCAGAAATACTTCTTCCTCTGCATTATTTACTGCAGCAAGTTCTAAATTCTCTGACAGGTTACAGGAGCCAGACCACGAGGAATCTGCCCTCCTCCTGGCTACATCACATAACAGTGCGGGAAAGATCACTTCATCCTACTAACACGATTTCTTCCTTTACAAAATAGGGAGACAAAATTACCTAAGTCACGGGGTCCTGGGCTTTTAAATGAGGTAGTGCATATAAAATGCTTAATAGAGTGGCGAGCTGGACACAAGGGAAAAGTTCAATCTGAAAAGCTAACCAGGCAGCCGAAATCAAAGAGAGAAAAGCATGCTATTTTCATGGAGTCTAATGACAAAATTTATTCAAAAACTCTCTCCAATCTGTTTCTCAAAACTATACTCTAAATCTTTAATCTGCTTTTAACTTCTACCGAATCAGTGAGCCTGCTTTGAAATCCTCCCTCATGGTGCTCTGCCCCTTGGTGTGAGGTCATGGTATGATGTCACAATCCACCCCCTACTCCATCTTTGCGACTCTTGAGCTCATTCTTGAACCGCTTTGCTCTTTACATCTGAGAGATCTTGAGGTATTTGTCTCATTGGAGGTCCCTCCCCCATCCCTTTGAAGCTTTAAAGGAGTATGTATCTCATTTGGCATCTATTCCAGGGAATTTCAGTTGAATAAGACCTTCAGAATTTTCCATGCTTGGGCTAGAATCCCAGATCTCTAACCTACTTTTTTGGGGGGCGGCGGCGGGGGGTGGGGGGAGATACAGAATGAGAACATAGGAGCTTATTAGATCATTAGAAGCACATCAGCTTGATGGTTCTCAGGAGTAGAGCAACATTTCTGTGTTCTGTTTAAATGTCAGGAACAATGCTATGTTTGAGATATAATTCACCTGTACTAAAAAGTAACCCTCTAAAAATATACAACTGGTAGTGTCTAATACATCCACCAAGTTGTCAATGGCCACTGCTAATTCTGCATTGTTCACGTCCTCAAAAAATGTCCGTTAATCGTTACACCCCAGACCCTCCGGCTAACCTCTGACTTACTTGCTACCACTTTGCTTTCTATGGACTTTTCAGATAAGTGGGAAAATAGAAAATGTGGCCTCGTATATCTGACTTCTTTCACTTGACTTAGTGTTTTCCAGGTTCATTCGTACTGGAGCATGTATCAGCATATTATTTTTAATTGCTGAATAATATTCCATCGATGGATAGACCACATTCTGTTTATTCATTGATGGAGTTTTGATTTTTACTTTTTGCTTCTTATATATAGCTTCTGCTATGAACATTTATGATCAAGTGTTTATGCAAACATAGTTTTTTTTTAGTTTTCCTAAGTATTATACCTAGGAGTAGAATTGATGAGTATTATTGTAATCCTATATTTAACTTTTCTGAGGACCAGCCAGACTTTCCCAAGGTGGCTGTATTATCTTTCATTCCAATCGTCAGCGTGTGAAAGCTCCCATTTATTTATCTATATTCCCATCAATTTTTTTTTTATTTGCTTTGGTCCCACTAAGTTTGACAGTGTTTCCTCGGGTAGCCCAAGCTGGCCTAGTACACTCAATCCTCCTGCATTAGTCTCCCCAGGGCTGGGATTAGAGATGTGTACTACCATAGATCTTGGGCTCACAAGAGTTATACATTTTAGGTGAGACATCTTAATTAGACGTATAATTTGAAAATATTTTCTATAGAGTGGGTTGTCTTTTCACTTCCTTACTAGCGTTCATTAAAGCACAAATGTTTCTAATTTTGATACATCCAATTTATCTGTTTCGTGTATATATATGCTGTTGCCTTCTTTGAGTTCTTGAAGATCTCCTCCCCATTATATTTTCGTCCTAGAGTTTTATAGCTTTGCCTCTCACATTTAAATCTTGGGTGCATTTTAGTTAATGTTTGCATTATGCTGTGAGGTAGGAGGCATGTAATTTTAAATGTCAATAACCATGTGGCTTTTGGTAACTTATTGAACCTGAGTTTCAATTTTCTTTGTGAAATGGGACTAGCAAACAGAACCCAAACCATAAGGTTTGGTCAAGAGCGGGGAAACGTACATATGGTTTGAAGCCTGCAACCGCTCAACAAACGCGGTAGTAACTATTATCATATGCACAGTGAGTTAATGAATTCTTCGATAGGAAGATGGATGTAGCCATTCACCTCAAGGGGCAGATCTGGGATGGATTGTTAAGGGAATCTCTGCCCCTAGGTAGGCCGTCACTTCAGGTTCACCTCTAGGGATTGGTTAAAAACTCGAATTCGCGGGTCAGAACCTGCTTTTGTACCAAATTCGGAGTATTTGGAAGCTTGCGGGCACGGTCGGTGGCGGCGCCTGCAGCGCTGTCCACGGCCTGTTGGGGGCGCCCAGGAGCCAGCGGCGCTCACGGCGGCTGCGCAGAGCCCTCCCCACGCCGGCATCCGCCCCTCTCAGCTGACAGCTCCGGAGCGGAAGAGGCGGTGCTCAGGTGGAGCCGGGTGTCTCCAGGCCTGGCCGCGAGCTTGTCGCGGGGCCCCGGGTGAGGGTGGAGTGCGGAACTTTCGGGCCGGGCTCGGCGGGGCGGCCGGAAGGTACGGCGGGGACGCTCTGGGAGTGCGCGAGGCCGAGCCGGGTGGCCGGACCGGGCCTGCTTTGCGGACACCGGGCTCCCCTGCCCGGGACTGGGGCGGCCGGCTCCGTGGGCGCCAAGAGGACAGGGCGGGGCGGGGCGGACGGGCCCCGCGCCTCCGGCACGCCCCGAGGCCGGCTTCTCTGCTCCGTTGCCAGCGCTGGGCCTGTGGCCCTGCCTTGATTCTGCCCCGGGTTGCTGGGGAGTCACGCAAACAACGTCTGCATGACGATTGGCAGGCGGCGGAGAGAGACCCAGGCTGACCCCAGAGCCGGAGCCTGCAGGGAGTGGCCGGGGAGATGAGTAGGATTTTCCCAAGCTAGGGAAAGCTGGCGGAGGAGGGCCCTGCTGGAGCGGCTTCCGGTTTGCAGCAGTAGTGTCATTAAACTTTTATCTGTTTGGTGTTGCCAGGGTTTATTCTTGTCCCCGGCTTACAGGTGAAGCAGTTAGGCATCTTATGCCCAGAGATGGTCCAGAAAAGAGCCCAGGCTGTCATCTGTCTAATTTTGATTAATGAAGAGAGTAATACGACTTGTTTCACGTGGTTGTGGAGGCTAGCGTCAGTTAGTGCATTTGAAAGGGCTTAGCGCAGTGCCTGACACCCGGTAAGAACTCACGAATTGTTACTGTTCTTACCAGTGTTACTGTGACAACGGACCCAGCCTCCTGCTTCTAGTGGAATGTGATAAAGTGGTCCTCGGCCTCTGGTCCTCCGTTCCTGCACATTGCATTTCACCCCAGGTATTTTCTGAGTGCTTTAGGGCACTGCTTGGTGCTGAGAACAGTAGGTAGGTGAAAAAGACTTGGGCCTGCCCCTTGAAGAATGAATGCAGGCTAATAGAAGAGGAAGTGCAAGGTCCGATTTGAAAGACGAGAGTGTCTGTTAGGAAACTACTGTGTAGACTTGGGACTTTCGAGGTTGCCCTCAAAGGCTGAGTGGGTGAAATCAGGAGGAAGTGAAAGCTAGCAACCTGAATTAAGGGCCACCTGGGTCTAGCCTTCTGGTTGAGCTGGGGTCAGGTGGAATAGGTCAGAAAGGACTGTGTTATTTGGAGTAAAGATTATCAGGCCAGGCTGCATAATGGAATCATCTGTACTTCTTGGAAAAATTAGAAGTGTGCTCCCTTTGGCAGCGCATGGACTGATTGAAATGATGCAAAGATTAGCATGGCCTCTGTGACAGAATGACATGTAAATTCATGAAGTGTTCTCTAGTTGTGTGTGTGAGCGTGATTGTGGCGATGGGTTATGAAACTAAAAAGGAGGCTGTGAGAGGGGAGATAGAGGTTTTCAGGAAGGGAGGGGGATGATAGAACACGTGTGACCTGGATGCTGAAAGGGGAGGGGACTGCTAAAGGTGGATGGGTAGAGAGGGAGATGAGGAAAAGAGCGGGGAGGAATTTCCACAAAAGCACATTATGTATGAAAATACTGCAATAAAACCGTTTGAAGTCTGATGTCTAAAAAGTTATGTGTGTGTGGGGGTACCCTACAACTGTAGAGTCCTGACTTTATTGTTCTGGAATATGGCCTGGGTATTGGAATTTTAAGAGGCACTTTCTCCACGAGATTCTGATGTGCAAGCAAAATGGAGAATGTTAATTTCCAACCATGAAATCAGTAAATACCTCTCTCATGTCTGGAAATTCTTTGTTTACAAAGAAACAAAAGGCTTAATCCTATCCTCACCATGTGCTACTTCCTGGTCATTTTGTTGACGATTCAGTAAGGTAATGTGATTGGACCTAGTACTGTAAACAGTTGGTGCTCTATAATCATAAACTGATTATGACACTAACTTATTTGGCAATCACTTCTGAGAATATGGTTTTAAAGTTAGTTTTATGGTAACACCTTTGCATATAATTTTTAAGATGTTACTCATGCTTCATAACCTATCTATGGACCACACTTCTCCAAAAATGAACTCCAGTTTAGAGGTCACTCTCCCACTGAGCTATAACCCCAGTCCTGGTAGTCTGGCTCTAAATACTTAGAGTAAATCTTACAAGCTCATGTGTATATTTTGCCTTAAAATGCTATCCCACCCTCATAGTTAACGATGTCACCTGCAAGGCTAATTTATGAGCAGGTGAGAGTAAAAGCCAGAGGGGTGGGAAATGAGGAACAGAAGTAGAAGAGGAAAGGAGAAAGCAAAAAACAAATTTAAGATGATGTTTGTTGGGTGTGGTGTTCCGTCATCTAGAACCACCTCAGTTACAGGGCTGAGGGCAGTCTGATAAGGTGTCTGTCATTACTGGGGAACATACAGTTGCCCTTTAACCACGTCGTGACTCAGTCTGTCCTTGGAGAGTAATAACTGCCTGAGCGTTTGACTTAAGTACAGATGGGGAATTTGAATCTGGAGAGTGTCCTCACACATCTTTCCTGTTTCTTTTTTGCAGATGGCAGAATTTCCATAGTATATTTGAGTCCCACATCTTGGTGTCTTATCCACTTCAGTCTCAGCTCCCTTGGCTAGAAAATTTAATGGGCTTTGCACAAATTCCAAGCCGAACTGAAATCCCGACTGCACTGTTACTATCCTTTTCTTCTGGTTGTTACTAACAGGTACTAAGTGACCTAAAATGGAACATGTCACCGTTTCAGACAGGGCTAAGCTTAAGCAGAGCGTAACAACTGCTGAGGAAAAGCAATATTTTTTGAAAACGGAATTGTTTCAGATAGGGGACGTTTAGGAAAAAAATGAAAAGAAAATGAAGTCATTTAAATGGATGATCAGATTTTTGTAGCATCATCTTTTAGAAGGTGCAAAATACACTCGGGCTTTTGTTTTGTTTGAGACCAGCCTCCATTTCGGTTTTCAAAGGTGTAGCGGTGAGAGGGCAGCTGCCAAGCGGCTGTCGTTTCCCTGGGTTAGTCATTAGAAGCACCACGGCCACCTAAGGGAAGAAGATGGCACAGATTGCTAGTTTTGAGCAGCAAAGAGAGGGCTGATAAGTCCTCTGCAGTTGTTTGTGAGGGACTTTTCTCTACCATGAAACTTCCCCCAGTTATGTGCATTTCCTAGCTGATTTGAATGATTGGCTTCAATCCTCAGGAAATTCAATGTCGTCAGAAGACCTGGAAGCCCAGGAGGATGAACTATTGGCCCTGGCGAGTATTTACGATGCAGACGAGTTTAGAAAAGCAGAGTCTGTCCAAGGTGGAGAAACCAGGATCTATCTGGATTTGCCGCAGAATTTCAAGATATTTGTGAGCGGTTAGTTAAGAATATCTTAACACAGATTTTTCTAAATAAAAACTGTTCTTGATTTCTTACTCTATTTTAGTTGTCACTTGTGTATATAGCCATGGGGGTTATTGATAAATATGGGTGGCACAGATTTAATGCATGTTTGCTTTGAAAGGAAATGGGGAGGGGGGTGTAAAACAGTTCGATTCGATCATGCCTTTTTGACCACTGAATTGAGATATCCTACATATTTCATGCAGCTTAGTCTCCTGATCGGTAGTTGATCAGCACAGTCGTTGATAATTAGAAGTAATCAAAGGAAACAGATAATAACGTGCAGCTGTGAGGATTCTTGGCGTACTGTAGAGTGCCACATGGTTGTTTCTGCGTGGTTTCTAGAATTGGTACAACTGCCATGGACAGGTATGGGGCATGCTGCCGCTGCCACTACCACCTTTGGTTGGAGAAAAACCAAACTGTTTTTGATCCATTTGCTGAGAACTTGATGCACATTTTCTCGCAATGTTTCTCCTAGAAGCTGTGATCTCTTAGATGACCCTGTGACTGGGAGTGTTATGTGCCGTATTATGTCCTCAAGCCTGAGAGTAGTCTGTTGGCACAAACTTCCCCAACTGATTCATGACTAGTTGGCATATGCTGGTTTAGTAAGTCATGGTTCTTTCATAGAAATAAATGTCTTTTTCTCTAGATTGTGTCTTTAATTGTCTACCATAAACCAACAATGAAAACATTGTGCATTACTTTGTCATTAGAGTGAGGAATTGTACTAGGAAGTGTTTACAAGAATGAGTTGTATGACTTCATACATGACATGGCACCTAAGTAGATTTTTCAAGGGCTTGTAAGGTGTTGTGTTTTGTTTTTGAAGGCAAGACTAGGAAACTAACATTAAGGCATAGAGGTGCTCTGGGGGAGGGTTTTTATCCCCTCTACTAAAGCATTAGGGCTGAGCACTGCTCAGGAGTTTTCGGACACTCCAGTGGTGATCAACTGATCCTTTCTGATTTTTGTTTTTGGTTCAGGCAATTCAAATGAGTGTCTCCAGAATAGTGGCTTTGAATACACCATTTGCTTTCTGCCACCACTTGTGCTGAACTTTGAACTGCCACCAGATTATCCATCCTCCTCCCCACCTTCATTCACACTTAGTGGCAAATGGCTGTCACCAACTCAGGTAGACCCAAAACTTAATTTCTCCTATCCATTTTTAGAAACTTTCAAAATCATCTTTAATTGAAGACTACCTTGGTGATCTTTAATTCAGTGCATAAGGAACAAATGGCTTTGATTTTGTAAATTTTCCCCTAGTGTTCATGAATCTTAATGCTAATGAATTGAAAATGCTTGATGTTTTTAGAAAGACTGGCAGGGCTGAGTTACGACTCAGCTACTGAGTTCTTACCTCACATGTGCAAGGCCCTGGGTTCTAGCCTTAGTACTGGAAAGAGAAAGGAAGAAATGGCAGTACACAGACTTAATTAATCCTTATGAATTGCAACAGCAATGATTTTTAATCAAGTGTATTGTTTCTTCTCCTAGAGATAAGGTTGTCCTCATTTTCATTAGATACTGATACTATTTTCTCAGTTTCTTATTCATTCCTTAAATGAAAGATTTAATTGTAATTATAACAGAAAATTGAGCTAAGTAACTATAATAAGCAAATTTCCTTAATAAATGTTTCTCCATAAAAATCTGTGTATTAATAATGGATAATTGTCACTTAGTATCACTTAGCTGTAAATGCACACAAATAGAAATGTGTGTAGTTCTTTAGATACTTTCTAAGGCTTGAGACCTTATATTGAAAGCCTGCCTTCTCTGTGTGCTGTTTGTCCTTTTCTAATAACCTCAACTCCTTTTATTAACAGGTAATATTGTATGTATTTATGATGGAGCACATTGTTATATTTCAGTTTGATATTGTGTAGAGCATGTATTGATCGCACCAGGGTAATTAGCATGTCTGCCTCTGTATCATTTATGTCTGGAGCCTTCAAGTGCCTCTCTTTAATGTCAGTGTTTGATTAAGACATAAATATGACTTGAAGCTAGTACAGTGTTCCGAGATGTGATGGATCAATAGCTACTTTTCTAGAAGTTATGAAAATTGATAAGTTGATATTAAGACAAAAGCTGTCAGTTGTTGACCTCAAGGAAATAGCTCATTAGTTTTTCCCTTTAGTCCTATAGTTTTGATATGTTTATTTTTGGAGATAGAGGGGTTTTTTTTTGCTACATAGCCCAGGCTGGGCTAAATCTCATGCATCTTCCTCCCTCAGCCTTCTGAGAGCTGGA